CCAGCATACAGGATGAAAGGCAGCAAGGAATGACTCAGTCAAGAAGAAGATCGCAGAACAAATGCTGGCATCTCCATGCTATCCGCTTTTATGTTTGCTTTTAAGTGTTTAATTTATGAGTTATATTGTGTATTTCTAATAAAATATTTTACTTTAAACCTCTTCACGGGTGGTAAGGTACCTTCAGATCTGTTAGCCCTCTTGACCCCTATAACACCTCTGTAAAGGCAAATGGGCCAGATAGGATATGCTTGGCTTTTCAGATGCTGGAACAGAATCCTACAGTAGATGGTTGATGTGTCCAAGTTTACATTAATGATAAGCAGCAGAGCCAAAACTGAACCTCAGGGGCTATCGACTCTTAGATACTTTTTCAACAGCATCCTAATTTCTAAAAAGGAATGCATATGGGAACAATCTGCCTGGATATTTCTTACTTACTGTAAGTTCCTGTTTTCTATCAACTCATTCCCTTGACTTTTATTTCTCTCTTAAGTATCTAAATTAATAGAAAATGAATGCTCATCCAATTTAACTGAGCCATTAGCTTGAAATTTTTATTAAATAAAAGGAAATGAAATGTGAAAATATATACAAAGATTAGAGGCATTATTTGGAAAACAGCATTGGATAATGTTGTAGAAATTCTAAGTCAGCTCCAGGTATCATTTCAAATTCTCTGTCCTCATTTTCCCACTGGCCCCAATTTTCTGAACCATTCCTTTATTTTAAAAATGTGGCTTTATCATAGGAATTTTTGAAGCTTCTTTAAATCATTTTGTAACAAGATGAGCTATAAGTAAGTTAATTAAAATAATGGATCATGTAGACGGTAGTCAGTCTTACATAAGAATAGGAAAATATTATCTATGGATTCACACTTTTTACCTATGTCTTTTTATTTATTTATAAGTAGTGTCTCTAAGCCAAAATGGTATCATGGACCTTTTTAAAAAGAAACAATAGATAGGTTTATAACACTGACCCTTTCTATTTACATTTGTTACCAAGTAAAAGTCATATATAGTACATAAAACAAATCTCAATAGTTATAATTGATTGGGACTCAGGTCTAGTTGAATGAGTAAAAATTTTCAATTGTAGAACAGTTCACAAAATTTATGGAAAGTTATTTTTAAAATAATAATACTTCCTGTTACCTAGTCTAATAATGTCTCCAAGTTAATTTATTATTAGACACATCATATTGTGGGAATAATGGATTGGCGCTTTAAGCAAAAAATTTTATTACATGTCTAAGCATAGAAATTTTTAAATGAAACTAACTGGATGAAAATACACATATTCTTTATAATTTGCTCATGTAATTTTCTCTTAAAAAGAGTTCAGGATATACATTTTGGTCCACTATTATTTGTTTATTTATTATTTATTTATTTTGCTTTGCTGTTCATTTTTTTAAAAAATGAGTACTGTATCTGCTCGTTCTCATCCTTTAGGTAATACTTTTGGAAAAATTTGATGTAATAGTGCATATCTGTTGGGTCATGTTATTTGAAAAATTTACAGTAAAAATTACCAGTCTCTTTATTTGTTCAATTTATCCAATAATGTAAGAGAAGAGAGTCTCTCAGCCTTGACCTAAAAGTCCTGCCCCTTCTTTCATTCTCATTCCCAGGCCCTTGCATTTGGTCACAGAACTTTAAATGCCATCTGTTTGTACCTCCCAAATATCTATATCCAGCCCAAGCCCCCTGAACCCCAGATCTTTATTCCCAATTGCCCGCTAGGTCTCTCCTTTATGCGATGTCTCAAAGGCTTCTCACCCATATCGTAGCAAGGCCACGCTCCTAGTCTTGACCCCAGCCTCTCCTTCCTGCGGTGCTCTGCACCAGTCAACGGCAACGCCACCCTCCCAGGTGCCTGGGCTCCAAACGCTGAAGTCATTCTTGCCTCTTTTTCTTCTCCTACTCCTTCTCTCTTTTTCTCTCTCCATTCACAAATTAGCTAATGCTATCATCTCTGTCTTCACTCTCTCCACTATCCCAAACCCGGTGTTTGCCGTGTATTAAAATGTGCACTTTTTGGCCCAAATTTTTTGAGGGAAAAATAAGGATGCGCATTATAAATGGGTATAATGACTGTATACCACGGGTATAATAATCCCATATATAATGCGCACAAAAATGTGGGTGTGCATTATACACGGCAAAATATGGTATTTCTCATCAGCTCACGATCCTGGCTCAGTGCTCCTGCATCTCTAGATGTAGCAACAGCCTCTATCTGAATTTCCAGCTTCACATCTTGCTTTCCTGCAATCTCCCATCAACTCAGCAGCCAGAATGATGGCAATTCATGTTAGTCCTCTGCTCAAAACCTCCATTGGCTCTCCGCCCACTTAGATTGAGGGCAGAAGTCCTAATTATGACCCGCAAGACTCCACAACACCTGGCCTGGGCTACTTGACCGACTTCCTACCACTAGCCTCCTTCCTTTCGCTTTGTTTCAACCTCACTAGCCTCCTTGCTGCTCCTGCCTCAAGACCTTGCTGATCTTTTTTTCTTCCTCCTGCTTGGAACGATTTTCCGCCATTCCTTCATCTCCTTCAGTTCCCTGCTAAACTGTCCATTTCTCTGTGACCTACCTCTGCTATTTAAATTGCACGCCCCTGCCCAACATTCTCCATCGGCCTTTCTTTGCTTTGTTTTTCTCCACGTGATCCATGCTGTCTTTTCCTTGTTTGTTTGTTTAATGACAGGCTTCCCATATTTACTGTCAGCTCCCAGGAGACAGAGATTCTTGTCTGTTTGGTTTGCAGCTGAATCCCAGCTTCCAGTCCCTGACATTCAGTAAGCATTCGCCAAATATTTATGTATTGAGTTAAAGGCAGGAGGTGGGAAAAGGACGCAGTGAGAAGCGCAATGGCACTGAAGCGGCGGGTGTATGAGGATGGCCGCTAAAGGAGAAAAGGGGCCATACAGACTGAGGGGAGCCAGCGAGTTGGAGGGCTTTAGCTGTGGGGATAAAGGGTTCCTGAGCAAGCGAATGTCGTGATCTGAGCATTCTGACAACCATGCAGAGAAGAAATTTTGTACGTGTGTTGAAGGAAATCGATAGTATGCAAGCTAGCAAGCATTTGCCCCAAAGGCCCATCAAGGACATGTCTTTCTTTCCAACTAAAAACTCAAACTAGCCTAAGGAATTGGGGGCTCACATAGCTAAACAATCCAAAAGCAAGCTATGCCTTCAGGCGTAGCTTTCCCTAGGACTCAAATGATGTCAACAGACCCTATTTTCCCCTCTCCATTTCTTGGTATTTTTTCTTCAATTGTCAACACAATCCTCAGGCTCCATGTGTGGCTCTAGGCCCTGTATCCTCTCTCTCATAAGGCTCAGAGAAATTCTCGTGGCTTTTCATTGTCTCTAAGGGAGTCCCATGCCCATTGCTCAAACATTCGTGGTCGTCTGGGAACAGAATGGTCATTGACTTAGACTAGCTTACACTTAACCGTTGAGCTAAGGGTTGGGGAACAGTTGGTTCTCCAGATGGAACTTGAGATATAACTGTTAAAAAAAGAGAGAAATGGAGGCTGGTAATGGCCAACAGGTGACCACTACAGAGGGGTAATAAGGGTTTGAACTTGAACCATTGCCGTAGGAATGGAAGATGAAGGAAAGAAGTAACAGGCATCACTGAGATGAAATCAAGTAGACCTGGCTCTGAACAGGGAGGGGATAGGACACAGAGGAGCTTGAATGCAGCCCAGATTTTGCATTTGTGAGACTAGGATTTGGCGTTGTCATTAATGAAGATCCAGGATGAAGTAGGAAGAACAGATTTACGGGAGAAAGAAAGCCTTTTGTTGCCTTCTCATCCCTATTTTGGTTAATAGAATTGTTACCAGCTTCTCAAAGCTCAGGAAGGATTGAGTTCTGTAAGAGGCAGGAGGCAAATTTTTCCACCAACCACTTATTCTCAGAAGACTTGTCTCCACAGTTCTGAAGAGTCTTATCTCCAAGCCTATGTGTGAGAGAATCACACTGAAAATGTATTTTCTCTCAGTAGTTTGAACTTCCCTTGGTTGAGCTACCAGCATCTACAGTGTAGAAAACCATTAGAACTGAGCTCAATCTTTTCTTGGAGAACACTTCAATGTGACTGATTTAGGATTGTAAGGCCATCTTGTAATGTACTGTGGATTAGGCGTAGAGAAACATGGGATGTTTCTGGATAGAACTGCAGTTAATGCCGTGTCAAATTATGAAGCAAGAAACTGAATTGTTAATGGACCAGGACGCAAGAAAGGAGTGAAGAAGATAGGCACTGAATGATACAAAGACCTGTGCAGTTGTAGTAGGCTGTCTTTTTTCTGAGTGTTCACTGTCTGCCAGGTACTGTTCTAAGTCCTCGACCTATAATAAGTCATTTAATCACCACAGCAGTTCTTCGTAGTGCATACTCTTATGATCTCCATTTTACAGGTGAGGAAAGAGAGATACAGACATGTTATGTACCTTGCCCAGGATCCCACAGCTAGTAAGTGGAACTAGGACTCAATCCCATGCAGTCTGGCTCAAGGGCCTGTCCTCTTAATAAACTGATTGTATCTTCCAGAACTGCCAAGTCAGTTCTAATTTATGCCTATTGCCTTGGCATAAATATAAATATGAACTCTAGAATGTTTCCCCATTTGGATGATAAATTATGAACACCATTCCTCCTCACTGTGATATTTTGCTTATTCAACGCCAAGAAAAACCTGGTCTGAACAGCAGAGATAGCCAAGTGATTAGTCTGTATCTCTAATTAAAAGAAAGGTGACAGTTTGGGTTGAATATGACTATTTGGTAACCACCCAGTTTGTCCTAAAAATGAAACTAACTGGATCGGTATAGGTTTGGTTTTAACCAACGAATCACCCTGTTCTCTTACAATTCCAAAGGCTCTGCTTTTTGCTATAACGAAGTTGCCAGTGGCCAATGGTGTGCATCTTCCCGGGATGTTTTCCTTATGCCTCAACATTTGGCCCCTCCAGGTTCCCCCGGATCTCCAGAACGAAGTGCTGATCAGCCTGCTGGAGACCGATCCCGACGTGGTGGACTACCTACTCAGAAGAAAGGCTTCCCAATCCTCGTGAGTATGCCAGTTTCTAAAGCCGCTTGGGGATTTCTATTTCCATTTCTAAAGAATTGTAAAGGTTTATGTAACTCCATGCAGGGTGACTTGAAGTGGGACTGTGGCACCTTTCTGGCACAGCTGATCAGTCCACCTAACTGGAAACTGCTTTGCTCTTACCGATCCACACACTGAATTAGAAACTGCTTTACAGAATTTTTTTTTCATTTTAATTTTTGGCTTTCTCTAGTCCCTTGAGGTCGTTTTGACTGTGTTTACCAGAAAAAAAAAAAAAGCACTAAATCACTAGTAAGAAGCTCAGGGTTCTGACCAGGACACACATCCGTGCTACTTCCAGAATTCTGATGACTGTTTTTACGGCCCCATAAAGCTGAGCCTGCACGCACCTTACGTGTGTAATTTACCAGTGCAAGTGACGCATTACCAAACCACAAGACAGGCCTCAGCTGAGGCCTAGGTGCCCATTTGAAATTAGAGGTTGGCACCCTCTTGACTCCCCTGCCCTTTATAGCTAGGATCCTTTTGATAAAAATACACTTTGGTCTCCCCATGCACCTATGGTTGCAATGAGTAAAATGCAAGCCATGCTGGAGGCTATGTTTTGCCACCATTTTGTCCCTCAAAGGAGAAGGACCAAATTTTCGCATTAGTCAGATTTTATGACTAATTGCAGTCATGTGCTATGGAGGCAGACTCTGTATGGGGCTCCTGAGCATTAGGTAAATCCAGCTAAGGGGATAGTATTGTATCTTTATCAGAAGTGATGTTGCTACCATGACACCAAGTCTTACATTTGTGACAGAAAAAGTTGTTGTTATCCTCTCATGAAAGTATCATTTCTGCTGTGCTTTTAATCTACAGAATTTCAACAATTCGAAGACACATTTTTCCCAATGTTTTATCATCTCTGAGGCTGAGATTAACCTTACAATCAATGGCATGTCCTAATTTAATTCATAGCATGTTTTTTCTTTCTTGACCATATGTAAAATAATGGTGTGTCTTATTCAATGCTATCTTAGACACATTAAAACATGGTAAAGTGTTCCTTTATATTGATGCCAAATTTGACATGTTGATTTTCATGTAAAACTATTTGAAATATAAAAATATCATACTCTTGAGAGAAATTTGGTGGAAAGGAATTCCACGTTGTACAGGCCTCCTTCTTTCCTGGATCATTACATTAATAGCCCTGCTAAATTCAGCTTCCCTCCATTTCCTGCAGAGTAGGAAACATGTTTAATTGGCTGATCCTTTCAGACGCACTTTTGAAAATCCATCTCTGTGCCAATAATTATCAGGCTAAATTCTGGTTCAGGTAAGACATTCTGCCTGGATTCAAACCCCAAGAGCCACGAGTGAATAAAAGTATATTTAAATTATTAAATGGGCTGGCATTTCATGGTCTCGCTTTTCATATAAGATAATTAGATTCACTTACAATTTTCCTAGATTTTTAACTGTCATCAGGGTGGAAGTTCTCAATTAAAAGAACAAATGGCTTTTTCCCACAGTATAAGTTGCATCACCAGAATTTTAATGAACTCACTTCCCTCCCCTGTGCAAAAAAAAAAAAAAAGCAGACATTATGGCACTTTTATTTGTGAATCCCCCAATAAGCTGCATTTATCACATTTCATGGGGGGTCCTCCTCTGTGGACAAGCTAGAAAACATACCTAAAAAAACATTGATTCTGGCTTGCCAGACTTCTGTTGTTATATGGCATTTAAAAATATAAAAGCATTGAGCATTGAAGAATGGTTGATAATAGTTATTTTATGTGGTTGTCAAGTATGTTTTTCTCATATAAACAGCAGGAAGTGAACCTTTCTTTTTCACTCTTAGGAAAAGGACAAAGTGTACATATTAAGGCTATCCCCAGCTGTACAATTGTCGAGCCTCTTTTTGCTAGCCCTGTGGGAATGAGAATTGTCAGGTCTAGGCACGCTGGCCTGGGACCAAGATGCTGGGCGAGTGTCAGGGCTTAAGGGGAGGGAGACGAGCTCACAGGGGCTCTGTGGGTGTCGGAGACTAGCGTTACCAACCAGAGAACATTTAAAAACGACTTTCTTAGTGAGGATGAGAAAAGAGTGTTTGTTTGTTTGTTTGTTTGTTTTCCTCTAGGTACAGGCAAAGGAACAGCCCAGAAGGTTGATAATTATGTCATAGAGTAAAAATACATAATTTAGTAAATAGATTGTTATTTTTAATGGCCTTTTGAGGCTTGCGAGTCCTGCCTCTCAAGCTGTAGGTAGTCCGTTCATGCCGTAAATGCACGCTTTTCAAACTTTACTGTGCATACCAATCGCCAGGAGACCTCATTAAAATGCTCTTTGCGAATCAGTAGGTCTGGGGGAGGGAGTCTGAGAAACTGCGCTTCTCTCAAGCTCCCAGATGAGGCTGTGATACTGCTGGTCTGTGATCCACACTTCAAGGAGCAAAAGCTTCAAATATCAAGGCATATTCTTGACTCTAGGAGCTTGCAGACTTGTTGAAGGAAACCTAAAAGGGTAAAAATAATAGGAGCTGTGTGATGAACTATGTCGCAGAGCACAAAACGATCCGCGCCAGGCTGCTGGCTCTCAGACTTGCCTGCCCAGCGTGAATCACCTGGGAAGCCTGGCAAGCTCTGCCGGGCGCCGCCCCTAGACGTTCTGGCCCATTTGTTCTGGGGTGCAGTCTGGGCATTGGCATTTTTTTCTTTTAAAAAAAATTTTTAGAAGATTTTATTTATTCATTTTTAGAGAGGTGAAGAGAGGGAGGAAGAGAGGGGGAGAAACATCCATGTGTGGTTGCATTCCATGCGCCCCCTGCTGGGGACCTGGTTCACAACCCAGACACTCCCTGCACTGGGAATTGAACCGGCGACCCTTTGGTTCATAGGCCAGAGCTCAATCCACCGAGGCACGCCAGCCAGGGCTGGACATTGGGATTTTTCATAGCTCCCCATGTGATTCTACTGAGCAGATAGGGGTGAGAATCTCTGGCTTAGATCCACCACAATAGATACTACATATTCACTCTCACTGTGGATGATTTTTGACATTAAAAAGGGGTCTTTGTGTTGACAAAGGACGAGAGCCAATGCTCCAGACCGTAAATCCATGATGGTGGTGGATTACAGTGGTGACAAATGACAGTACCGCGACTGTCAGGTAGTGCTGGCCACATTGGTATGTCAATTATCCATGAAGAGCACACCTCTGGGCAGCATAACATGCTGGTTCCAAGCTTTGGGTGCGGTGCCAGATCACCTGAGTTCAAATTTTAGTCCCACTCCTATTAGCTGAGTAGTCTTAGACAAATAAATTCAACTCTGTCTGTTTCAGTTTCCTCATCTGTAAACTACAGATAAAAAACTTTATAGAGTTGTTCTATTAAAATAGTGTTTTTAATAAATGCCACTGGGTGCTATCACATCATTTCGCATTTCACCATTTTCTCTTTTTCATGCACAATAGTCCTTTTTTAATTTAATGTCTATTATATTTTTCCATTACCTTTTAGTCCCCTTATGCCCCGCCCCACCCCAGCAATCTCCCCTCTGCTGTCCGTGTCCAAGAGTCCTTTTTCCTTTTTGCTCAATTCCTCCTCCCCCCTCCCCTCCCCCTCCCATGCTACCTGTTACCCTGCTCACCATTTTCTTTATTTTCCACCACTTACCAAAGACTTGGGCATCACTAGATTTTACCTTGCTCCCCATGAGATAGCAACCTATGAAGGCAATACAGTACATGTGAGATCTCACCCACGTAAGCTGTGGGCAGTGTCTAAAGGCAAAGCCCACTTGGCACATGCCTGATCTAATTGGCATCAAGATGGTGTCACTGGTTCTGGAACAGAGAGGGACTGAGGGTAAAAAGGCTCCGAAGTGAGGCAATGACCTGCTCACACTCGACAAGGTAGCGTTCACAAGGGACTGGAAGGGATCTCACAGTTGCATGGAATGAGGGAAGAGAGCCTGGTCCGCTCATGGCATCATGGGAATCATCAGAATCTTGTTTGGAAGACTTGATGTCTTCAAAAGGTTGAGAGCTAGGGTGTAAAAGGTGAAAATTGAAAGGACTTGCGGAAAGACACCAGAGAGGCAAGCAACAGGAGCTTCCAGAATGACCACCTGAAGTGCAGCGATGAACGATCCCCCTCTCATATTCCCTTCTGACCCTTTGTTGGTTTTCCCCCCTGAAGCTTCTGGGTTTTGCCATCAGTTCACATACCTAAAAAAGGCTTTATTCATATGCCCCGTGTGGACACTGCGCACAATTTTATTTGGAGTGGAAAAGTAACTTTTCAAAAGAGTGTAGAACCAAGAAGAAGAACATATTTATTATAACTTCTGTCTTGAAAGATCAAACATTTAATGATACTTGGGAAGTTAATGTTTTGTTTTGTTTTTTTTTTTTGTGAGTTTTTCTCTTCTTTACGCAGCAAGAGAATTGGGGGAGTGAAAGGAGGAATCATTATTTTTTCTTGTGCTTGTCTACTTACATTTTTGTCTTTAACCACAACAGAATGCCAAAGGGAGAGGAGAAGAGATTTATATTACTAACAGTGCAAGACTTTGGGTTTTTAAATTGCTTGTCTGGTATACTTATTAGAATTATATGCCCTTTTCTTCAAAGATACTTAAAATAAACTCCCTTCCTTTGATTTAGGGAAATAAGGAAATAGGGAATGAGAATGGAAGGTAAATCCAAGAGCACAAGGTCCATGGAAAGCAGGCATTTGCAACAGAACAAAGGTGCCAATAGCAGACACTTCCCTAGGTGCAAAATGTAGGGGTATGCTCAGAAACTCAGCCATCCAAATAAACAATACTGAAATGTAATGTTTTTAAAACCAAAGTTATTATGAACAAAATACTGTTAAAAATGTAAAAGCCTACTGGCAGGCCAAGCCGTACTGGAGCCTGAAGCAAAAGTTGTCTCTGGCTTAAATGAAAGCAAGTCATCAATAATGTTTTGCAAATGTACATCTTTATTTTATTTCCAAC